AGACAACAGTCTTGCAGTGGTGGTTATAGATCAATAGCGATATTGTAATTGTGAGGTGTCTGAATGTGTGTGTGCGTGTGCGTGCGTGCGTGCATGCGTGCTCATCTTCTCTCCGAAAAAAAAAACACAAACGACCGGAGCGCATAGAAGAGACGAGAACAGAGCACTCTGTTCTCGCCTCTTCTATCCCCTCCTGTCGTTTGCGCTTTTAAGCATTTTCTTCGTCTACCAAGCAGCACCAACCAGCCCAATCAAGCACTTTGTCATCTTCTCTCCCTTTTCTCTGCCTCTAAATTTCACACTTCCACATCCCTTCTTCCAGTGTAGGGCAGTATACCTTTTCTTGACTGGTTTCAACATTTCTGCTTTTCCTTTCTCTCCTATCGTTTTCTTTGTCATTCCTCGGTATGTAAGAAACATTCTTTCAGGGGTACAATCAAAGCCTATGAAAGTCTGTTGTTCTTACTGGAAGTTTAGACTCAACGAAACTAAGCATGAAGCATAAGAAACAACCTCCCCCCCCCCCCCCCTAAAAGAATGTTTTTTTCACGATTAAGCATAATATAGAAGTCCGCTTTAGCATAGTTTTTCTATCAATTATGATAACTATTCCAAACGCCGGCGATGCTCAGCATATTGGCGCAGTCCTGCTAATCACCGCGCCGCTGAGTTTCCCGGTCCAAATTTTCCCACTCTCCTCTCACGGAGGGCAGTCTGTGTGGGACACGCTACGCACACTCGTGCTCACAGAGCGTCGAAGACGGAGTGGTGCGTCAGGCACCGAGACGTGGTGCACGCCGCAATGACGCGCATCTAACATCCACTCGTGGACGCCAAAAATAAAAATAAAATAAAAAATTAAAGAGAACTCTACAAAATACAGTGTAGACATAAAGGTATTCTCTGCTGCCATCAACACATTGCTATTGCTACTATACGAGAAGGCCGCTTGACAATCTAGTGAAGGGGAACAATGGGACGTGCGCGCTCTTCAAACGACGGTATTGTACGACGCGAAGAGACGTCAGTGGACGGCCGTGGCATGACGCACTGTACTGAAGAGCGTGAACCACTGGACGACGGGGCGAGTTGAGCGAAATGAGCGCTCGAAACAAGCGAAAATAAACGCCTTAGACGAAACGTTAAAGCTAGAAAGAAAAAAAAAGAAAGAAACACTCAAATAGTGGATTGAGAGAGCGGACTTCTGGCCGCGCTTTGGTATCATCCGTTGCGTATAAACGTAATGGAAGGAGGAGAGAGGTCGAAGGGCCACCGCCACGGTGCTTGGGAAACCAACGTAATATGGGGTGCCGTAGAGAGGAGAATTCGTGAAAGAAATAAAGAATGAAGAGAGAGAGAGAAAAAAAGAAAAGAAAACGTGGCGGGAAGTACCCTCGATTCCATCCAGAGGAAGTGTCATTAAAGTTGGCCAACGAGTCGTGTCACGTAGCGCTGTGCGCCGTGGTGCCTCACTTGACGAAGCCCCGAATAGCCGCGCAACAGACGCAGTTACGGGCTTGGCATCCGCTGAAACCTCCGCTTGACGTGTGCAGAGAGTGAAGGAAAGAAAAACGGAGAGGTGGTGTGAGAGAGAGTGGCCAGTTAAACGAGAAAGAATACGCCAGGGTGAGGAGTTATCCGAGTTGGCAGCGCACATTGTTACTCAGCTGAGCGCACCGCGGAAAAAGGTGCGCAACTATAACACGGCGACGGGGTTGAGGTAAGAGAAGAGAAAGTGAGTGCATTGCGCTTTCATTCGACGCGGCCTGTCGTCTCTGCCTCGGCGTTCCTTCCAGCGTGGCGCAGCGACGACGACCAATTCGTTGCCGCAGATGTTGATACGTATTTTATATGTCCACCACAAGTGCAACAGCCGGTCGGGTAGCAGCTGGTTTGCGAATTGTGGTTTCTCTTTTTTTTTTTCTGTTTCTCTACTCTCGTTTAGTGATTGTTACCGCACTCCCGAGCTCCAATCAATGCTCGGCAGTGTTGTTTGCCGCTTTTCATCGCAGGTTACACGCTAATAAAATGGTGAGAAAAAAAAAACAGTCATCTGAGCCTTAGTGGTACCATGCCTGAAGGAACGCTAGAGCTGAACTGCCTTCCTTGCCAGGACTTACTTTTTTTCATTCTTTTTTCGTATCTTTTTTTTTCTCTGTGTTTTCCTATCTCTTGTTTGTCTCGTTTTCTTGCTAATTCTTTCTTTCTATATTTTTGCAGTCTCTCTCTCTCTCTCTATTCCTTTTTTGTCTCCCTTTTTCTAAGGTGTGCTGTGCCATATACACTTCTTTCTCTCCCCCTCTCCCTCAGATACCTCATCCTCGCTTCCATTTCAAGCAGCGTACTGCACTATACTAAACAAGTGTATGTTATACACTGCTAGCGTTCTTGCATGCCCGAGGAATCACGATGCTCACCTACAGATCGTCGGTACGCGGGTTCGAATCCCGCCTCGTCAATATTTTTTTTTCGGCACCTTTTTGTTTCTTTCTATTTCTGTCTCACTCTCTCTCTGTACTCGTTCTCTCACCATTTGATTTATCAGAATGGTGCGCCGGACAAATTGGCAGCGTGTTCTGAGAAGGATGAAGACGAGGACGGACGGGGAGAAGTGGACGAAAATAGCGTATGCCAGTTTTTCATGATGATGATAATTTTCTTGCGACAGATTGCAACCAAAGGCTGGCATAAACAGCTCCGCTGCTAAATTGCTCTGTCTATCATTGCGTGCTAGGTCATTGTGAAAGGCACAACTTGTGCATACTGCCTCACATAAAAAACTGAATTCCACAGCATCATGTTTATAAAGTTGCTGTTCTTCGAATACGGGCTAAATTCACGACCCGTTCGTTTCAAAGAGTCGTCCCCCATCGGCCAGAGACGGAATAGCTAAAATGATCTCTTCATTATCACTGGCTGGAACATTCTCGTAGGAACAGTGTAATGCAAAAGAATCTTGTGATTTTCAGCATGTCTGGCGCTTCGGTCTTTGTGTTTATGGTCAGTGTTCAATTGCTTTCCCTCTCGCAAACCATTGCACGTACGCCAAGCTTATGAATCTGTGTTATGAAATTTTCCAACAGCGCACAGAAACAAGCACTGCTGTGTAATTTGTTTCCGCCACATTTCAATGTGGCACTTGAAATCAGCGCTTTAAGTATTAAAAACTTCTTTTTCGCGGAAGCCCGACCTCAAAAATGGGCTATGTTTTGTGACTCCAAGGCATCCCTTCAGAGCTTGCAATCAGCTTTACGACAAAGGGAGCATCAACAACTAGTGAATGAAAATGAAATAAGAGAAGTGCTTCACGAAGTTTTATCGAAAGGACATGACGTGGTGTTCCAGTGGTTACCGGGACATTGTGGTATTGTCGGTAACGACCTTGCTGATAATGCTGCCCGATCCGCCCACGCGGACGCCCAGACAACCCCAATTCCATTGGCGAGAACCGACGCTGCAAGGGGCCTTCACTCGTTCGCTAACACTATGTCGAAAACTTGGCTGAGTGACCCCAGTGCCAGGAACCCCCACCTACACAAATTGGATCCATCGAGAAAGCTTCAAGTTTTATCGGACCTCCCCCGCCAGGATGCAACTTTACTGTGCCGCCTGTGGTTAGGAGTAGCTTTTACAAAGGCGTACTCCTTTCGCATAGGAATGGCGGATAGCTCCCGATGTGAATCGTGCGACACTGACGAGACAATAGAACATCTACTGTGTTCATGTGAATGTTTTGTGAGCGAACGCAACTACTACGCGAAACGTTAGAGACACTAGACGGTAGACCTTTTTCCGAAGAGAAGATCCTTGGTTCATGGCTCTTCGCATCGCAGGCCAGCAAAGCGACGCGGGCATTTCTAAGTTTTCTTAAGACGACTGGACTACACGACCGCTTATAAGCGTGCAATGGACACGGGCACATCTACACACACGTTGCCCTTCACTTCTCTCTCTCTTCTGCTTTAATCCCCTCACCCCTTCCTCCAGAGCAGGGTAGCAAACCGGACGTGCGTCTGGTTGACCTCCCTGCCTTTCATTTCTTTCTTTCCTCCTCCTCCTCCTCCTCCTCCTTTTTTTTTGACCAGCTTGGTTTAACGATTGTGGCACTCCTGTGTGTTTGGGCGTCTGCGTTGGTTAGTATGTGGGGTTTAACGTCCCAAAACCACCATATGATTATGAGAGACGCCGTAGTGGAGGGCTCCGGAAATTTTGACCACCTGGGGTTCTTTAACGTGCGCCCAAATAGGAGCACACAGGCTTACAACATTTCCGCCTCCACCGGAAATGCAGCCGCCACAGCCGGGATTCGATCCCGCGACCTGCGGGTCAGCAGCCGAGTACCTTAGCCACTAGAGCACCGCGGTGGGGCAGGGCGTCTGCGTGTGTGTTTGTAACTTGCTCCCTCTTTCTATATCATCCCTCTCTTTTTTACTTTTCTGTCTCCCGTTGCTCCTTTCTCAGTGCAGGGTAGCTAACCTGATACTTGTTTTCCATGTACCTTCCTGCATTTGTTTGTGTGTGTGTTACAGCTGCATTTTCTATTCTTCCACTTTTTAATTAAACGTTGTTCCTCTCTCTCTTCTCTACCACTCTTTACTGTAAGGTAGAAAACCGACTGTTTCCATTCCAGTTAACCTGTTAATCTTTCTGTATTGGTGCCTGCCTGCCTGCCTGCCTGCCTGCCTGCCTGCCTGCCTGCCTGCCTGCCTGCCTGCCTGCCTGCCTGCCTGCCTGTCTGTCTGTCTGTCTGTCTGTCTGTCTGTCTGTCTGTCTGTCTGTCTGTTATTGTGCTAAGCTAGCGGTTTTGTTTCCTAGACATCCTGTTTCTTGGCTTGAAATGAGAGGCTGCGGAACAGTGTGCGGCGGACGAGAGAAAGGTGATCTGGGCATGCCCAGGGTTTAAAAAGACAAAGAAAGCAGTGAAAAAGAAAGACCCCGAGATTAGATGTGTGTGTAAAAGTATTCTGCGTGGTTCAAAACCACATAAAATCAATTCGCACCTTGAAGCTGCCGAGGTTGTCCACGACGCATGTCAGGGTCACTTCTCGTCCTGCTGCCACTGTCACATTGGGAATGGGCTCAGCGAAGCTTGGGAGCTTCCTATGCACCGACGAAGAACCTCCTGGAATGCATAAAAAAGATGCGTGTCAATCAAGTGAGCGAGAAATAAACTACTCAATCGAATAATTTGTCGGTGTATCTACCAATCATTCGATCGATTATTTCATGAATCAATCAATAAGTCAGTCAGTCAGTCAATCAAGGCATAGCTTTTTTTTTTTCGCAATAAAGGAAACTACAAAAGTTGAGAAAGCATGTAAATAGGCAATTCGACAAATAAATTGAGTCGAGCGTTTGATTCGCGAGTTTTGAGATCTCCGAACTCTAAAATCGTAGAGACTTCATAGCTTTCCGTCAATTCCTGCCTTTCATTCCGGCTCTGAAAAGGGTGAACTGTGAATTGAGATAAAACGCTCGAAGAAGTCACGCGAACACAATACGTTAACATCGGCCTGTGAAGCCGAAGCGAGACGCGTCACGTGAAAGATTAACGTCGCTCTTCGTTATTTATTATCGCGAGTCCCCGTCGAGTCGGCGCTATTCCGGGAGACCGCTTAATCCCGTCGACAAACACTTCAGCTCGCACGAGCTGTCTTCCCATTAAAACAATCGAACCGCCCCATCTCGAGATTTATTTATAGGATCTCAGCCGACCGGTGTTTGCTTTAAGGATTGCCCTCTTGCGGTCGTGCTTAAGGCTCCATCCGGGATCACCGTTTCAAACAACTCTTTCTCTGTTTTTTTACTTGTTTTGAAGGTTTTCATCAATGGCATTCTTTTGACGTCGGAAGCGATGAAGTTTTTTTCCATATTCACGACTGCTCTTTATTCATTTGAAATTTGAAGTTGAGAGGGATCCTATGTGCAGTTTGATTGAGTCTAGTTGCCTTTACGTGATTTCTCACCGCGGTTCATTTGCGTGTTTCTTAATTCTATTTTCCTTTAGTCTTCTCAATGTACTCTCCATTAAAATGCAGTGGAAGTAATATAGAACTTGGTGGTGATGAGAACAATAACCGCTGCCAAACAACGTGGAGGTTATTTTCGGGTAAGTTCGACTTATTCTTTTTCATCGTGGCTTGACAGGTAAGAAGCCCTTTCATAAGTTGTCATGAAACACTTCGAGCTTGAGGAATTGAAAGAGCGCATTGTCGGCACACTCCAGTAGCAAGTTTTTTCTAACTGAGAAAGGCTTAGGAAGTCAAACACTGTAGCTGTGAAAGAACTTCAACATTACAGTTCTTGTCGTGGTAAGCTTAGAAAAGGTGTTACAGACAACGAAGCGTGGTTATGTGTGTACTTATTCAATTATTTACTTGTTTGTTTGTCGATGTCACCTGCAAATTTGCCCGAAAGCCTATAATCATCTTAGTCTTCCCGGATATTTTACGAACAAAATACAACATCAGCCCGTGGCGAGACTTAGATACAAACTTCCAGACATTTTCTTATTGCGATAGCAACCCTATGGACAGTCTCGGCTGGTTTTTGTCGTCACCGCCGCCGTTTCACGTTTCATTCGCATATATATATATATATATATATTATATATATATATATATATATATATATATATATATATATATATATATATATATATATATATAATCATACATAATTATACATATTTATTTCAAAATAGCCCCGCCACGGTGGTCTAGGGGCTAAGGTACTCGGCTGCTGACCCGCAGGTCGCGGGATCGAATCCCGGCTGTGGCGGCTGCATTTCAGATTGGGAATGGGCTCAGCGAAGCTTGGGAGCTTTCTATGCACCGACGAAGAACCTCCTGGAATGCATAAAGAAGATACACGTCAATCAAGTGAGCGAGAAATAAACTACTCAATCGAATAATTTGTTGGTATGTCTACCAATCATTCGATCGATTATTTCATGAATCAATCAATAAGTCAGTCAGTCAGTCGGTCGGTCGGTCGGTCGGTCGGTCGGTCGGTCGGTCGGTCGGTCGGTCGGTCGGTCGGTCGGTCGGTCGGTCGGTCGGTCGGTCGGTCGGTCGGTCGGTCGGTCGGTCGGTCGGTCGGTCGGTCGGTCGGTCGGTCAGTCAGTCAAGGCATAGGTACAAAAGTTGGGAAAGCAAGGAAACTACAAAAGTTGAGAAAGCAAGGAAATAGGCAAATCGACGAATAAATTGAGTCGTGCATTTGGCTCGCGAGTTTTGAGATCTCGGAACTCTAAAATCGCAGAGACTTCATAGCTTTCAGTCAACTCGTGCGTGTTATTCCGGCTCTGAAAAGGGTGAACTGTGAATTGAGATAAAACGCTTGAAGAAGTCACGAGAACACAATACGTCAACATCGGCCTGTGAAGCCGAAGCGAGACGCGTCACGTGAAAGATTAACGTCGCTCTTCGTTATTTATTATCCCGAGTCCCCGTCGAGTCGGCGCTATTCCGGGAGACCGCTTAATCCCGTCGACAAACACTTCAGCTCGCACGAGCTGTCTTCCCATTAAAACAATCGAACCGCCCCATCTCGAGATTTATTTATAGGATCTCAGCCGACCGGTGTTTGCTTTAAAGATTGCCCTCTTGCGGTCGCGCTTAAGGCTCCATCCAGGATCACCGTTTCAAGCAACTCTTTCTCTGTTTTTTTTTTGCTTGTTTTGAAGGTTTTCATCAGTGGCATTCTTTTGACGTCGGAAGCGCTGAAGTTTTTTTCCATATTCACGACTGCTCTTTATTCATTTGAAATTTGAAGTTGAGAGGGATTCTATGTGCAGTTTGATTGAGTCTAGTTGCCTTTACGTGATTTCTCACCGCAGTTCATTTGCGTGTCTCTTAATTCTATTTTTTTGTCTTCTCAATGTACTCTCCATTAAAGTGCAGCGGAAGTAATATAAAACTTGGTGGTGATGAAAACAATAAGCGCTGCCAAACAAAGTGGAGGTTATTTTCGGGTGAGTTCCACTTATTCTTTTCCATTGTGGCTTGGCAGGTAATAAGCCCTTTCATAAGTTGTCATAAAACGCTTCGAACTTGAGGAACCGAAAGAGTGAATTGTCGGCACACTGCAGTGGCAAGTTTTCCGTAACTGGGAAAGGCTTAGAAAGTAAAACACTGTAGCTGTGAAAGAACTTCAACATTACAATTCTTGTCGTGGTAAGCTTAGAAAAGGGGTTACAGACAACGAAGCGTGGTTATGTGTGTACTTATTCAATTATTTACTTGTTTGTTTGTCGACGTCACCTTCAAATTTTCCCGAAAGTTTATAATCATCTTAGTCTTCCCGCATAATTTACGAACAAAATACGACATCAGCCCGTGGCGAGACTTGAATACAAACTTCCAGACATTTTCTTAATGCGATAGCAACCCTATGGACAGTCTCAACTGGGTTTTGTCGTCACCGCCACCGTTTCACGTTTTATTCACATATGTATATATATATATATATTGTAACGAAAAGTGGCGCGGCAGCTATGGGCTATGGGATGGACAGCAAGGAAAAAGAGGCAGAATAGAACAGCTTGCCTGACGAACGGGTGTTGTGTTTGTCTCACTCATTATAATGGCACAGTCGTTCAACGAACCTGTGCGTAACGACCTGCGTGCAGAAACCGTCCTATGGAGAGGACCCACTCTCCAGCGGCCCGGAGCTCCTGCTACCGTGGCCATGGCATCCGACCTGGCCACCGCGGGTACCGAAGCCAGCGCACTGCCTGCAGGCGTCCTTGCCATACCACAAGGTGACTCCTCTGACTTGGCTTCGCAAACCGCCTCCTTGTCCAGGGACGCCGTACCCGCTCCCTTGGACTTCGCCTCAGGTACCATCCCTGGAGCAACGGAAGTACCGTCGCCAGAAGACAGGCGTAATTCCTCGCCTGTAGACGCCAGCGAACTCTGCATGGTTCTGCAGGTCATCGCTACTTCGAGCCAGCGTCTTGCAGACGCCACCGTCACCTTCTCAGCAGCCTGTGCACGCACCACGTTGCCTCCTCCGTCCATGGCTGAAATTCCTGACTTTACTGGCGTTGATCAAGACCTAACCATCTGGCTGGATGAAATTCATTCGTTGGCCCGTCGACATGCATGGACTGATGACGTGACGCTATCGCTAGCCGTAACCCGACTGCGCGAGTCCGCCAAAGCGTGGCATCAATACAATGGCTGCAAGTACAAATCCTGGAGTGACTGGACTACAGCCTTCGTCACGGCCTTCCCACCACTTCCATCCGCATACGACGACCATTTTATGCGCATGTGATCGCGTCGGCAGGCTCCATCGGAAGACGCCCGTAAATACGTCTACGATAAGCTCGGGCTTCTCGACAAATGTGGCATTACATGGATCTCTCCGGCTGCCCGCCAGTATGTCGTTGATCGCTTGGCTGACCCTACCCATGCAGTCATCTTATCTTGCCAGTCACCTGAAGCGTCACCCCAGGTTTTCGCTGAAAAGGCAGCCGAACTTCAGCAGAACTCTCGTCGTCGGCTTAGCTTGGACACATTAACGACTGTCCGTTCGACTGTCCGTCCGGCCTCCACACGACACAGATGCTTCAAGTGCGGTCGCATTGGCCACAACGCCAAGGAGTGTAGTCAACTGCTCCAGACGCGAATTAACTACCAAACTTGTCCAATTCCTCGGATGTCCATTCATGTTGAGGGAATAGGTGACCTATCTGCTCTGGTGGATACCGGTGTGGAACGAACGGCGCTACACCAACGTCATGCTCCAGACACTATCCGACCATGGACGCAACCTCCCATCTTCGGACTTGGAGGAAGTGCTATGCGAGTCGGATTGCTCGACATTTCTGTCCGGACGGCAGCGGGCACTAAAGTTCTTATAGCCATTCCCGTCTTTGAAGACCTCCCTGCCGACATGATCCTTGGTGCTGAGTTCTTGCTATCTGATGACATTGAGCTCACCATACATCGCGGCCACGTCGAACTCCGGTCTTCGACAGCTGGGACTACCGCTACAACCCTGCCACCACCGACAGGTGAGCCGTCCACTCCGCCTACCTTATCTTCTATATTGGCTCGCCATCAGCCAGTATTCGCTAGCAAAACAGCAGAACTGCCAGGCACTAATTTGCTGCTCCATCGCATACCAACGGGAGATCATCCGCCGATATGCGTACCACTACGACGATACGCTGAACGAGAGCGGGCAGTGATCGCAGAAGAAGTAGATGAAATGCTTGCCGCAGGCATTATTAGGCCGTCATCGAGTCCGTGGGCAGCGCCGGTCGTCCTTGTTCGCAAGAAAAACGGATCACTACGCTTCTGCGTGGACTACAGGCAGCTGAATGGGTGTACAATGCCTGACTCCTACCCTTTACCCCGCATTGATGATGCTGTTGATACAGTACGTCACTGCAAGTTCTTTTCGTCACTTGATTTACGCGCAGGGTACTGGCAGATTAACGTCGCAGAGGAAGACAGATGTAAAACGGCCTTTCGCACACCTTTCGGTTTGTATGAATTCAACCGCATGCCATTTGAACTAAGAACGGCTCCTAGCACTTTTCAGCGTGCGATGAATTCAGTGCTCAGACCATTGAAAAACCAAGCCTGCGTGGTGTACTTAGACGACATCCTGATCGTTGGCAGGACGGAGGATGAACACCTTCGCAATTTGGACGAAGTACTACACAGACTCTATGCAGCAGGGTTTCGTTTAAACCAAGAGAAATGCCGGTTTGGGGTGTCCAAGATTTCGTACCTGGGACATAATAAATCTCCTGTTTGCATTCAGCCACTTCCGGAGCGAATAGCTGCCGTGTCGCAGTATCCCACACCAACCTGCTTGAAGCAGGCTCAGTCATTTCTGGGTATGGCCTCGTATTTGCGAAGGTTTATTCCCCACTTCGCTTCGTTCGCCACTTCCTTGAGCGTTCTTCTTAAAAAGGACACGCGGTTTGAATGGGGCGTCTCACAAGAAAATGCTTTTCGAGCTATAAAACAAAAGCTGACTTGTTGCCCCATACTAAGTCACTTCAATGAGGACTGGTCCACCGAAGTGCACACTGATGCCTGCCATGTCGGCCTAGGAGCTGTGTTAGTGCAGCGTGACTACCTGTCAAAATACGTGGAAGTGGAGGCCGTGCCATCTCTTGCATTCACTTACCTAATCGACTTCCCCAAGCACCAATTTGAATGGAGACATGGCTTACCAAAAAAGTTATTATCTGATCGGGCTATAACATTTCGTAGCGGGGAACTGAAAAAGCACCTTTGCACGGCAGGCGTGCAGCACCACTTCACACTCGCGTTTCATCCTCAAGCAAACGGCCTTACTGAGAGGACTAACCAGAGCATCCAGGCACGACTCGCTCCATATACGAAGGCAGGGAAAAGAGGAGAGGCCGACTGGGACGTCCACTTTGCGTCAACCGCTATTGCAATTAACACAGCACTGCAGACGTCTACCGGGGAAAAGTCCTACGAAATTGTTTATGTAAAACTACCACAGCTGAAAGTGGTTCTCAGTATGGATGCTCCCATTGCAGTTCCACATGTCAACGATCGCAAAGCGGCCCGTCAGAAGATCCGAACTAAGGCGATCAAGAAAGCCACCCACGCACAAGAAAATCCAAAGCGCCACTAAGACAGACGCCGTAGGCCCGCTCCTGCTTACAACATCGGTGATGAGGTCTGGGTGCAAAGGGGCACCAGCGGGCACGGCAAGAAGCTACTCCCTAAGTTCGACGGGCCATTCTTAATTACTCAGCGTATAGGAGAAAATACCTGGCATGTGAACACCTCAGATGCGAACTTCACTCGCGATAAACGCAAAAGAAACAACTTTGCCGTGCATGTGTCGCGCTTGAAAAAAGCAGTCGGACCGCTGCAGGTGCAATGAACTGTAATTTCTTTTTTTTTCTTTGTCAGGTCCGCAGTGTGGCCGAATGTAACGAAGAGTGGCGCGGCAACTGTGGGCCATGGTCTGGACAGCGAGGAAGAAGAGGCAGAATACGACAGCTTGCCCGACGAACGGGTGTTGTGTCTGTCTCGCTCATTATAATATATATATATATAATATATATATATATACGCGGAAGGATGTGCTAGCCTCCTATTTCTGCTGAGCGAACATCACTTTTTTTATTTTTGGGCAGGGTCGACTGCGCACGCACTTATCTCATGGGTGAACAAAAGGGAGGGGGGGGTGCTTGTAAAACAATCAGCACGTGGCTCTTGCTCCAACAGCAGGCGGGAACTTCTACGGGCTGCGCTCTTAACACAAAAAACTGTGCCAAAGTGTACCTTGAGCTGCCGTCCACATACAGATGCGCTCTACTACAACAAACTGCCATCAGCGGCGACAAACGACGTATAGCTACTAGCATGCGCTGCCAACGGGAGGCGCGTCTCACCAACGCCGCCACTATGCACAAGCCCTGTTGTGTTCATCTACTGTGATCGCGCCGCAGAAAACTTGGTTACTTAGAAAGCGCATGTTTACTACAAATATTATTGCTCCTAAAAATGGTAGCCTTGCTTCGTAAAGCATTCGAGTGCGTTGCTATCGCATTCATTGCTTCGCCCTTTTGGTGAAACTGTGACTTTTTTTTTCTCTAAAATCTCGTTTTAATCTTGTATTATGTTTTACAAAGCTCGTCCTGCAGGAACCAAAATTTCTCGCGTGTTTTTATTTGCTGGTCGAATTACCCCCTGTTATGATAAAAAAATAACGCATATTGCGTCGTCTAATCTGGCACCTTAATGGCTTTCCGAGCCACAGCCGCGAGCTCCTTACCATCCGAACGTTTACGCATACGGCCCGAGCAGCGACCTCTTTTCCGTCCCCATCTTTATCTTTTCGTCGATGGCACGACAAGGGTCAACAAGGAAGTTTGGGAGTGCCTTGATCCCTGAAGGGGTGAGTAAGACGATGGAGAGCAAGATGGGAAAAGGAAAACGAAGAAGTCTGCATGGAGAGGCAGCCGTGTTCTAGCCGCTGCAACCCTTTTAAGGAGCAGACGCGTAAGAAGAGATATTGGGAGAGAAGAATGAGACGGCCCAAGCAGACGAGGCTGGTCGACCAGCGACGCCCGGTTTGCCCGGAGAACACGGGGATCAAGACGGAGCTGAAGAGACGGGGCCGATGGAAATGCGCTCCTCGAAGCCGGCGGCGCCGCCGTGGCCGCCGCGGGGGAGATACTCTTCCCTTCCCCCGCCCCTTCTTGGCTTCTTCTCTAATGGATTACCCTCGCCCGCGTGTTTTGTCTTTACGCCATGCACCATCGACGGCTTCGACGCCCAAAGCGCGCGCGCGCGCCTCTCGCGTCGGTATATACGCTACTCGGGCGTGCTGCCTCCTCTTCGAGGGAGAGAAAGAGCTTAGATGGGGTGCAAGATTAATGTTTCCCGCGCGATCCGTTGCCCTAATATTTCATGTTTCTCAGCAGCAGCCAGCCAGCCAACCAACCCAGCCACCCTCCCTATACCCTGCCACTGGCCCGAGTTATACCATTCCGCACAGCATACATGCTTCCAGCTATCCGAAGAACCTCGGAAGTCGTTCCCCCTCTATCACGGATGCCACCTCTCTC